TCTCATAACTTTCATTCTCTCAAACTCAAAACACTCGAAAGATCTTTACACTAGCTTTTAGCGTAGTGCACTGGGATCAATCCGTGCTTGTGATAAGTGGATGGTGATAAATGGTGTGGCTCCCAAAGGGTGGTATGGGTGGCTGTGATGTGGTAGAGGTTTGATGATTCTGGGTGGAACCACCATTCCCAAAGTGGGTCCTGATCGCGGAGCCAAGCACCCAAGGGTTTGAGCAGTTCTTTGCTTCGGGATCCAGGGATAATGTATACCTGGGTCAATGCTTCACGCCATCTATCACGCATGGATGGGGTTGGTTGTCTGGAACGTGGCCAATCAAATGGAGACTCACCGGAAGGAGGGTCCCTGTTTAAGGCATGTTCCAGCATGTGTTTCCCATTTGCAGTACATAGTTCTGATTTCCATACAACTTGCTTGTACATCCTGATTTGGTTGAACAGTTTCAGCTCGTGGGGGGCAAATAGGTTACTTGGAATAAGGTCATCCATAATGGTAGAATCTTGTTGTCGACCTGGGGAGAGTGAGGGGGTGGGGCCTACAAGAGTAAGGTTGACAGAGCAGAGGTCACGCCAAGTTGTTGCCATCCAGCTGGAGGTGACAATATGTTCCCACTCAGAATATTGCAATTCCCAGAATGGTTTGGAGGAGCCAATTTCTAATGTGAGATCACCCACAGTTGTGTTCAAGAGGCTATTGGTGAGGGTTTTCCTGCCATCATGTCGCATTAATGCATGAACATGCTCAATAAGTTGCACAGCCCAAAGATCATCCACACCCAGACCTTGGTATTTGATAGGACCATACACCAGAGCCCTGGGGAGCTTGTTCTGTACCTTGATTTTGTGCAAGGCATGAGTGAGAATGGGGGCCATGATGTGGGAGCACTGCTTTTTGGTCAAGGTGGTAGCCATCAAGGGATACTCCAAGGATTTCATGATGGTGCTGTTGAGGCAGTACCATAAGTCATTCTTGTTGACTTTCTTGTCCCTCACAGAGCTAGCCCACTGGATGGCTTGTTTCCTCATGTATTTGACTTGGTCAGACATGTTGCAACTGGGACAGGAGAAGATACCAAGCGCTTTCTGGGCCTTGTGTACAGAGAGTCTCTTGATGGGTCGACGGGTACCAGTGTCGTCATCTTGGAGGAGTAATTGACCAGGCAGTTCGGAGGGGGATTTGTAGGTCCATATTCCTTGAACACATTTGTAGTCCACGCCCTAAAACCAACTCTTCTTGTAGTCAAGTGCACCGCCAGTGACTCGAAGGAAGGAGTCCCAGTGATCAAGAACATCCTGTGCTTCAAGCATGACTTGCCTTCCCTTTGTGTAGTTGTCAGGCCCAGAATGAACCAGGTCAGTGTCATCTACAAATTGGAAGCATACCAAGTTCACCAGGTCATTTCTAATTGCAGACCAAGAGGCATAGCCAAAGCCTTCATGTCTCATGGCATCGACAATGACAGTTGCCACTGCAGCCCAGCCTGTGTTGGAAGCACCATTCCCTTGGAGGTAACCTTGGTTTGGATGGATATGTCCAGAGGAGTTGTAGAACAAGTCAGAGTCACCAAATGCTGTTCTGATGTAGTGAACCATTTGTTGAATGTTCTTGAGCATGGAAATCAGGGGTTTCTTGGGGATCCCCAATCTTCGCAAACAAATGTATGCTACGTTGTGAACCACCCTATCAAAACATCCTTTTGCGTCATTGGAGATGACCACCATTGACTTTCTCCTGAATCTTGAATCGTCGCCAGTCAAAGTGTTGTTCAAAGAGATCTCTTGTGCTCTGTAATGGCGCCTTCCTCCTCCATTCTCTGGGCTCAGGAGACCAGCAGTTTCTCCGTTCCTCATTCCTTCTTTGCCAATTTTCTTGTAGTTGATATTGCAATCAGCTTCAAGCATTTTGACATTTCTCATCTTGTGGGCCCGTCTATCACCTGAAGACTTCAATAACATGGAATCAATCCCAACTTGCCATCTCTTGTAGTTTTCGCCAGTATGGTACATGATGCTTCTTCGAGAGGCATCAAATGCCGCCAAGTCAGGGTCCATAGCTTGAGCCTTCAGCATCCCAAAGTGGATGCCTGATTTGCCGCCTGTGGTTTTTTCTTTCTGTCGTTTCCAGCCTTGGACATGGTCGTCAGTCGTCACAAATGGCTGGCTTTGTGGGACAGTCACTCCAGGAGGGATCTGCATCTTGTGGATGAGTTTCTTGGGGTATTCAGAGAGTTCAGGAGGACACTGATAAGTGCCATTGAGGATCTGCTCAGCAGCATCTGAGTTGCCGATGTATCCCAGATCAGATAGGAGGGGGTCCTTCATGAAAGGTGAGTTTGTACACTGTTGGTATTTGTTGGAGTTGACTTCCAGCATCACTTCTTCAATTGCATCTTTGGTAATGCATTCAGTGAGGACTTCTTCATCGCCAATGGTTTCAGATTTCAGGCAAGAGGTGACAGCTCCGCCTTGTTGCTTGTCATTGATGAATCTACTGATGGCACCCTTCCGTCTGGATTCTTCTGCAGCAAGAATGTTTCTCAGGGAAGGTGTCAATGAATTTGAGGCGTGATTTCTCATGGTCCTTCTTGGCTAGGTTGTAATCAGTGTATGCCTGACTGAGCTCCTTCCTCATGTCTTCCAGCGTCAATGTCTTGACAAGTATTGTGACTTTAGCTCTATATTTGGCTCGGGCCCAATATCTGGATTTGACTCTGCCTTTCCCAAGCCTTCGGTTGATGGCAATCCTCCAAAATTTGATCCTTCTTCTGGGGAGAGCAGTTGCCATAGAGAACTGGATGGCCCCTGTCTTGAGTTTTCTGCATTTCTTCTCAGCTCTGAGTTGGCATTTGGTAACCAGCTTGTCAATCACATTGGCCTCTTCCAGTTGGGCTGCAGTCATAAGGTCCCCAATGATGGAGGATTCAAGGGCATACTGTCTGCCTGGAAGGTTGTGTTGAAGTAGGAGAGATTTAAGAAGCTTGTTGTATCTCTTGATGCTGGTTACTCTCTTTTTAGCTAAGTTACTCTCTAAGTTCTATGCTCGTTTAGTTTGCATGTTTACTATTTCGCTAGCTAGTTAGTTACCTGGGCAATTGTTGCAATCGCATCCACAGAGATGAGTCCCATAGCAGACTGTTGTGTTCGATTGCACTTTGGAATAAGAGCAGGTCAATTTGCCCCAGCAATCAAATCTTTGCTCATACATTTTGTCACATAGTTGTTCAGGAATGCCGCCAGACAATGACGTGTTCTTGAGTACCAAGTTTTTCAAGCTTTCCATAGCAAGGAGTTCTGTGGGCAGTGTGCCAGATAGAGCAGTATTTTGCAGCTCTAGATTCTTCAGGTTAGAGGCTAGACCAATTTCTGAAGGGATAGAACCTACAAACTGATTGTTGTTTAGTTGCAAGAATTGCAGCAGTGTAAGTTTAGAAAAGAGAACTGGTGGTAGTGTGCCCTCCAACTGATTTGAGCCAACATCGATGTAGGTCAGGTCTGAGAAAAGCAAAGGTGCATTCTGATGGCATGAGTCAACTCAAGAATGATACAACGCAACATCACGTTTCTGAACTCACCAGTCAGTTCAAAGACCTCATGTGGCAAATTTCCAGAGATTGAGTTCCCATGCAAGTTCAGAAACGTCTGTTGATATGGATATGCAAGATCAGTGGACTTGCATACCATATCCAATTTCAAAGTCAAATATGATTGCTCAGACCTTGCTTACCAGCTTTGTCAACTGCCCAAGCTCACTCGGGATAGTTCCCTGAATTATCCACTCTTTCAAACGGAGGACTTTCAGTTCTGTAAGCTTGCCAAGTTCAGCTGTATCGCAAGGAGTCTAGAAAGTGAGTCCAAACAAGGACCCTTCCACCTGTCATGCTAGCATAAATCCTTACATGGAGTTGACATTACTGTCCCAACGGTTCGGCTTGATAGCGACAGTGAATGAAGCTGTATTTTGTTGCTGATGACTTCTTGAAGGATGTATTCAGTTTGCAGCCCAGGGCACTCCCAAATTACCAGAGTCTGCAGACCAGGCAATTTGTAAAGTTCACCAGGTACGGAACCTAGAATGAATGACAGTATCAGGTTTCCAAGATTAATCTGCTGACCAAACCGAAACAAAGCACACATACCTGTTAGATCAGTTCTTGCCAAAGTTAATGCTGATAAGTTGCGCCGTTGTCCAATCTCAGCAGGAATATGCCCATGAATAGGTGTCATATGAAAGTGAAGCAACTGAAGACTCTGCAGTTGACCCAACTCGGTTGGAAAGGAGCCATCAATGTTTGTTGCACTCAAAACTAATTGAGTCAATTTTGTCAACAGTCCAACCACAGTTGGGATGGTTCCCTTGAGTTCCAATTGCCGATTCAATTCGATTGACTGCAAGCTTTTCCCCAGCAAGGAAATCTCCGGAGGAATCCTACCTTCCATGCTATTGGCATCCCAAAATGCCAGTGCCTTGATTTCCCCATTGGCATTGCAGTTCACTTCTGGAGACAAATTTTGGCCCATGTCTACTGGTATTTGTTCCCAATAGCATTCATTGGTCTCCCAGTCCAACCATCCTTGCTTCTTCACCCAATAGTCTCCTCTTGTAGAATAGTAGAATGTGGCCAGAGCAAATCTTTGTTTTAGTCTCCAGTTTGGTAGATCCTGAAGAGTGGAAGATTTATTGTTGATGTTTTGGATCAGCCATTGATAGGCCTTGGACTGAGGAGACTGTGCTCGTTCCATAGCTGATAGGGTATAGTCTGGTAGTGATTCCAAAAAGGTTGCTGGTGCCATTGTTGGCATTGTTGTCAGTCGTGGAGTGCTTGGAGGCATTTCAATGGAAGTTGGTTGACTGGAGTTGCTGCTGGTGTGTCCTGCCTCGGACACTGCCAAAAATAACAGGAGTACTACAATCACTGCCAAGAGGACCACATTGACTTCCAATGAAAGGACTCGAAGTAACCTTTGCCTCCAGTACTCCTTTGATCTCTGGTTGGGTATTCTGGGCTCTGTACCAGTACTCTCCAACAAGTGAGTTTCTTGATTGTCCATTTCCACAACAGCTGCATCAATGACATCAGTCTGTAGATTGCTTGCTGTATGGTCTCCGTCATGATGGACGCCAAAAGAATTTGGATTTCCCGAAAAGCCCCCATAAACATGCTGGGCCCCAGGGACGCTCGTCGGTGCCGGTACTGTCGTTGTTGGGAGCGGTGGTGGGAGAGATATAACATCGTCAAATATTAGAGGCAGCAGATTCAAGGGGTACGGGTGTGTGGTTGTGTTTCCTTGTTCCAGTTTGGGAATCGTGATGGTTGTAATCCTTGAGTCCTTTTCCATCATAAGTTCTGCCTCGATTGCGTCCCCTTGTATAAGTTGTTCTGAGTTTTCTCCACTGCCGTCATTTTGATTGATTGTTTTGCTGGCATGACAACCACCGGTACCAGACAAACCACTATAAACATGATCAAGAACCTGCACTGAGTTCTCTCCACTGGATGTTTCAATATTGCTGTAGTCATTTTGATTTGTTGTGTTATAGCCCGAATATCCTCCGGCACTTGAAGAAAATCCATTGGCCCCAGGACCATTTGTTGTCGGTGGCAGCTGGGTTTCTGGAGGCAGCCGTGGGAAGTTTCCTGATGACATTGATGGGAGGAGACCATCCTGAGGCGCTAATGTTGATGCCATTGTGTATTCATGTTCCCTGGTGGTGGTGGTGGTGGTGGACTGCCCCAAGTTGCCTCGAAGTTCCATATCTTGAGGCACAGGAGGCACTTCTTGTTGTGATTCTGGCATTGCCGGCATTACCGGTACCACAGGTGGGCCAGTCAGGTTCCGCCCTGCGCATGCCACAGAATTTTCGTTTTGCGGTAGGGAACCAGAGGAGGAATTGTAGTTGTTGCTGCTGCCACCCATACAAATCATCTCTAAATCAGAGAAAACCGCGGTAACCTGGGTGTCCATGTCAAGGAAATCTCCCCCTGCCTGTCGTATTCGATTCGCAGCTTACTTATTTCGTGCTTGCCACGTTGATCCCTACCTGTGTGTGTGCGGTAGTTTTGCTTGTGCTCGAATTCATGACGCTTATTAATGAGCTCCTCTCTCAACAAGTTTCCTTTCTCATGCTACAGTAGCAAAGAACGACTGGCAGTCAGAATACAATCCTCGTCTCTGCGCAGCCAGCTCAAGGTTTTGTTGGGTGAGGGAGGGCGTTTGCTGTGT